TGGTGCCCTTCGCCACCTTCTACATCCTCATCTTCATAATTGGAATTGCTGCCAGCATGGTGGCGCTGTGGGCCTTCATAACCAGCCGAAGTGCTAAAAAGTGCATTAATGTTTACTTCATCAATCTCCTGACATCCGACTTCCTCCTCATGCTGGCGTTACCTGTCAAGATTGCCAAAGATCTGGGCAATGATTCAAAGAGTTTGACCATCTTCCACTGCCAAGTGAGTGCGCCGCTCATCTACATCAACTTGTACGCGTCCATCATCTTTTTAGCTTTTGTTAGCATTCAGCGCTACCTCCAGATCACTCGCAGCTCCAAACTTCTGCGATTGCAGGAGGTGGGCTTTGCGGTTCTGATGTCATCGGTGGTCTGGTTCCTCGTGCTCTTCATCAATGTGCCTAACATGGCCATCCCTATCAAGGAAAACGTCGAAGACAAAGTTGGGCTAACATGTTCTGACTTAAAAGATGATTTGGGCAAGCATTGGCATGCATTGTCTGTGTTTCTGGGCATGGCTATCTTCTTCAACGCTTCAGTAGCGGTGCTGTTGTCCAACGGCCTGGTCTTGAAGCAGCTTTGGGGTCGCCGTGAATCCGACCCTGAGCAACAGGCTAGTGCCCGACATGCCTTCATAAACATTGCATTGGTGACCTTGGCTTACGTGGTGTGCTTCGTGCCGTACCACGCTGTGCGTATGCCGTACACTTTTACACAGATAGAGGTCATCACCGAATGCACGCTGAGGAAGACTCTCTTCCTGGGCAAAGAATCTACTCTACTTCTCGCCATCCTGCACCTATGCTTTGATCCTGTGCTGTACTTCGTCATCTGCCGTGCATTCAGGCATCAGATCACGAAGACCTTCTCAATCAAACGCGCCGTTCCAAATGCAGATCCAGAGTGAAACTTCCATCGGAGGAGAGATACGCACCAAGTATAAGAATCCTTTGTTGAATCTGAATATAGGGTGAAGAAAGTTTCTTGTTGAACTGCAGATCGGTAATGTAGGAAAAGCAAGAAAGCTGAACAAAGCAGAAGACTAAAGACTAGGGGAAAGAAGAATGCACAAAGACCTTTGGCCAAAAATTGCACAAAATTTCAGTTGAAAAAGTCACTGCAATACAAGTACATGAACATTTTTTTAGCAAAATATGTATATATTTAAACATAAGCCTTCTAAAATGACTAAAGCTATGGAGACGGACTGTACAATAATGCTCAGAGGTTGATTATACAATGATGTTTGTACTGTATTTTGGTTATAGCTTGTAAATCATCAAAGTGATGTTTTTTGAAAATGTAAAAATGCAGAAAGTTTTCTGTGATGGTGAGTTTAGATTTAGGGCGATTTGTACAGTATACAAATAATTGACTATGGAAAGTCCCCATAAAACATGAAAACCCATGTTTTGTCTTAATATTGGGACAACTGTTAGGAAGCAAAGTGGGGGAAAAGATGAGCCCGTTCTCATCCCAAGGCGTCATAAACGGACGCTTTTGACATTTCATTTCGTTTGACATTTCATCATTTTTTTTTGGCCAGAAGGCGCCTCCTAGTGGTCTAACCTTAACCCTACCCCAGACCTAAACCTACCCATAACTATATTGACGCTAAAGGGTGCCATGTGCGTTGGATTTAGACGAAATGTCAAAAGCGTCAGTTTATGACGCCTTGGGATGAGAATGCGTTGAAAAGATGGGTGACGGGACTTGAACTTGCATCATCCAAAGGGCAACAGCATGTTTAAATTTGTTTTAAAGTTTTATTTATGTAAGCATTGATCATTCAGAGTAAATTGTATTCCAGATCCAAAATTCCTAATAAAAATCTACAAATTAAGAATCATTTAAATTGTAAGGGTTCTTTTAACTCATAAAGTCCTCCTGTAGTCAATAATTGTATCCCGTTCAAACTTATATTTGATCACCAAAATAGCATATTTAAATGTTTTTTAGCTTGAATGTAACTTTACACCCTTGCCTCATTTAGTATATGCGTTTCTATAAATATGCAAATTAGCCCCGCCTCCACTCACTCACACCAGCTCAGAGATCCACTTGTTGACAATCACACGTTGACCTGATTGGTTAGTTTGTGACATCAGAAACACCAGCGATTTCAAACCACGTTTTTGAGACAATACTCAGCAATGGTGCTGACTTATTAATTTACACATGGTTTGTCTTAAAGCATATTAAAAACACCACATAGACAGGTAAACAACATTAAAAGCTTGAATTTCACCACAGGGGGACTTTAAGATTTTTTAATAAATCAATGTTACCATTGTTAATAATGTCTCTGTCTTGTCTCTTATTTGATTAATGACCTTTTTTTGTTGTATTTTCAGTTACCTCATTATTCCCAGAAATGAGTGAAAGAGGGGCCATTGATGTCAGTTCTGTGAGTCATGTCTCTGATGATATGACTGTGTCAGTAAATCTAGCGTAGGCTGAGTTAGAAGGTTATGTCAAAACATGGACAAGAAAGAATGTTTTTGTGTATGATTCCACACAAACGTCACAATGTGTTTTGCAAGACCAGTTTGGAGGATCTCAGATTCCTACTGGAGTTATAAGGTTAAAACAACTCTTTTATAGGGAGCTTGGCCCTGCAATGCTCTAAACACAATCACAAGAATATTGAATTGTAAATCTGACATGGGAGCCATTGTAAGGACATTTAAATTGGTCTTACATGTGATCTCTTTGATGACTTAGTTAAAAGCGTAGCGGCAGCATTTTGAACCACTTGTAATCGTTTCAAGGATGAATTACTAAGAAGATAAGTAAAAAGAGAATTACAATAATCAAGGCAGGAGGAAATGAAAGCGATCCTCTCCATCTCCACTGTAGACTGACCTCAGTTTCGCAATGTTTCTCGACTGATAAAAACTGGTATGAACCAGAGAGTTAGCTTGTTGATCAAAACATAAATTATGAAGGGTAAGGTTAACAGAGAGAGATAAAGCGCCGAAACTTTCCCTTACCTTAGGGAAAACACCAGCAGGATCCGAAATAAGTGCTTCTGTTTTTTTCAGTATTTCATTTTTTTGCCATTCAAACTTTTATAGAGTTTATACAATAGAAAAGAACAGACAATTTCATAATTTCATGTGGCAGCAAATATAATGCAAAGGGGCTAAAACAGGACCCTGGGATGCGGTTGATGAGGCATAATTCTGACCTCTAACTTTATTTTTGTTGGTTCAAGTGTGAACAACAGCTTGTTTAAAATAAATTGGAGCCTGAGCAGATGTTAGTGAATTAATAATTATAGAAAGCACACAAGGGCTAAAAGTGTCGATAACATTTTTATAAAAAATCAGTGGGTAGGCTACCACATCCAGAGGACTAGAGGAGCTTAGAGCTAATTAGTTTAGTGAGATCTTCTAATGTTATCGGAGAAACCTTATCCAGGGTTATTGGCCTGGAAATAAAAGGTATTCGAGGGGAAGGAGGAGGAACAATGCTATCTCGATTATTTTTTTATCTTGCCTATATATATATATATATATATACAGTATATATTCAGTTGAGTGCAACAGTCGCATATATATATATATATATATATATAAAACCTCCTGAGACCCAGAAAAAAAAAGTTTTTTGAATTTAGTTTTTTTCCATGTCATCACACTGTTTAGAGCACAATAAACAAATGGTAAAAAAACATATATATAAAATAATATTTTATTCATACGTTATGCTATGTCCTCTGTAGTGGACGCCAGGACTAAGTTGTTTAAAAAATAAAATGACATGAAATTATATGTATAGGCAAAAACAATGGGATTTTTTTTTCAATCACCAATACATTTTGGGGTTTCAGGATTTTTTCAACCAAAATTTGTATAAAGATTATTCTCACCTATGTTATGAAAGAAATAATGGAATGAATTGATACACCATTTTACTTTTTGCAATATGTGGGTAAAATGGCCATAAGTTAATATTCCCATTCAATGCAATGTATCTATACACTGTATCTAATTTGCACATTAATGTGTTCTGGGAGCAACATTTAATGAAAGAATAAAGGGTAATAATTGGAGTAATAATTGGCAACATTTTAATAATAATATCTAACATTTCATAGGAATATTGATGTATAATTTATTTCCATATTCACTTGTTGTGTCTCCCAGAATGCCTGATAAACATGATTTTAGTCCTGATGTCCTCTACAGTGGACACGTTTGAAATCAATGCCCTGTTCTGTAACAGAAAGTTTTTTTTTTTTTTTAAACCCCTTAACATTTTCCTGAGATGTTGTTTTATGAAATACAATTTGAAAAGTAGTCCAATTTATATTATAATTACACTATATTATCATATTTCCATAAGAATGCTACATTTGATCACTAAATTAATGTCAGACATTTTTAAAGACCAAGGAGAAGTTGTTTTCATGGTGAAACCTCCAAACATTTGGTATCTCTGAAAAGTCCTGAATGTGCTCTTTACAGGACACCCAGGTTGTGTCATGTGACATGTATGATGTCAGAGAAATTCACTAAAATATAATGTCCACTACAGTGGACAAAAGTCTATTCTTGGGTCCCAGGAGGATATATATATATATATATATATATCAAACATTAATGCATTAGCTAACAAAATTCAATTTTGAATTTTTAAGCATTTATTATATTATATAATTGTTCATTGTTTGTTTGTTGTCATTGTTAATTTCAGATGGATTAGCTAACGTCAACAAATGCAACTTGATTTAAAAAAAAATATTAGTAGCCTATTTGCTGAAATGAACATGGACTAAGATGAATAAATGCTGTAGAACTATTGTTTATTTTTAGTTTATGGGAACTAATTTTAACTAAATGAATTTACCCATGTACAGTCTCTTAAATCATCCATCATATCACACACGATGAACTCCACATTTAAAGTTCAACTGTAGCAGTGAAATTGCTTTATTAATTGGCGAAAGAGATGTTGATCCAGTAACCAATCCAGTGTAAGGTCACATCATGCCCGATCACTGGTGCGAGACATTCAACCCCGTTGCTTGGTGACGGAGTGCAGTGAACGCGCTTGGCGTAACACTATCCAGAGAAGACATTGGGATACAACTTTACTCTCTCAACATGTGTATTTGAGCATTTCAGGTCACTTTATAGCATTCATGTTTTAGACATGAGGGGAAGTCGACAACAGCACAATGTCTTTCCCCATACTGGATTACGGGAAGATTGACGTGTGGATATCCATTGATTACTGAGTCTGTGCTCGTCGCCGTGTCCAAACACAATGCCTAGCCGTCAGAAGAAAATCATATTCTCCATCGCAGGGGTGCTCTGCTTTGGCTGTGTCCTGGTCGTGGCAGCTGCGATGGGGACTCAGTTTTGGGTTCAAGCGGCTGTTCTGTGTCAGACGGGCGCACAGATCGTCAACGCGTCGGGAGCAGAGCTGGAGAAATTCATCGGGAGCGCGACCTACGGGCTTTTCCACGGGAAGGGGATGAAACAGTGTGGTCTGGGAGACAGACGCTTTTATTTCTCTTGTGAGTAACTTAATCATCTCAAGATACTGACAGTAAAAGTCTAAAAAACACACCAGAAATACAAAGAGTTCTTTAGGGGTTCTCATTGCAATGCAATACAAGACAAATTGCCATGAGCCTTCAAAAGTATTCGGACTCTCAAATTCTACCAATGCCTTTATAGCCTATAACAATTCACAAATATTTGGTAAATCATAAAACAAAAGATATGCTGTACAAAACAAAGGAAGTCTTTGTGGTTGCAGTTGCACATAATAAGAAAAGCTCTTGCATCATTTGTTTGCAGGTTCCACTTTTTTTTTGTTATTTGTGAATTTGTATCAAATGCAATGACATTTATATCTTTTTGAATGTGGCTCCCCTTAAGTTATTATATGGTATCAGAAGGCTGGTATATAGTGCATGGGTTATATGGACTACCTTTATGATTTTTATTTTATTTTTGAAGCCTTAAAAGATCCAAATTAAAGCTTGGAAAAGAGCAACCAATATATTATTCAAATTGTCTCCTTTTGTGTGCTATAGAAGAAAGACACTGACATGTAACACACCTCTTTCAAATTATATAAACTATCAGTTGTCCCAGTATAAAGACAACACCACCAAAAATAAACAATTAAATGAACGTGTGCGCATACACACACACACACACACACGCGCGCGCGCACACACACACACACACACACACACACACACACATTGTGTTTTCATGTTTTACGGGGACTTTCATATTTATTTTTATACTGTAGAAACTGTAGGCCAAATTTTTTCCCCTAAATCTAACTCTTGCCATCACAAAAAACTTTACATTTTCAAAAAACATCACGCTGTTTTTCTCATGGGGACCAAATAAACTGTGTAAACCAATGTAGGGTTTACCAGGCCACACACACACACACACACACACACACACACACACACACACACACACACACACACACACACCACCTTTTCAGTCATCAACCTAATGCTTTGGAAAATCGTTCCTGCATCCTCCAAAAGTCATCACACATGCATAGCAAGTAAATCCCATTGAAAGTACTTGTAATGTAAGAGTCAAAGGGGCGGCTTTAAGAGACATCTGATTCATTTAGAACCAAGTAATATGTAGCTTTTCAGTTTTTTTGAGTTTTGGGAGGCACTAGTCTCATTGAATGGGGCTCAACTGATGGATCTTTTATGACACTTCATGTACAACAGCATTCTTTCCTAATGAGATCTGGAAAAGGCCCAGATACCAGAGCCAAACATTTAGCAGAACAAAAGTGAAGTGAGGTGAAAGCCAAGTATGGCAACCTCAGAATATCTCACTGCATTTAACCCATCCAAGTTAGTGCTCACACATTAGGAGTAGTGAGTAGTGAACACACTGCAAACCGTGAGCACACACCCGGAGCACTGGGCAGCCATTTTTGCTGTGGCACCCAAGGAGTGATTGGTGGGGTGTTTGTCATTTCCTGCTTGCATTGAGAATCGAACCTGCAACCTTCAGGTTACAAGTCTAATTCTCTAACCATTAGGCCATGACTGGCACCTTTAAAATTTTGTCATTATACATTTTTTTTTACTCACAAGGAGACGCATAAAAATTGGGGACAGAAAGTTTAATTTTATTGTCCATTCTGTTTGTCACAGAGAGTAAATTGTCTTTGACTCTGGTTTTGCATATATCCATAAATTTATCCCATAAATAAATTCTTACATATCGACACAAACACCGAATTAATCAACTGCATAATTCCTTGACACATGTCCAAGCATCCCACAATAATATTAAAAAGATAATACTGCTAATATTAAATTAACAGAGATTACTTTGAATCATTTTCATTTCATACACACTCAAACTGTAAAAAATAACTTTAAGAAATGTTTTAGTTTTCCACATATGAAAAAATGTGAATACAAATTTAAGTCTTTCTACTTCAAAATGTCATGTTTAATTCGTTGTTTCACCTGCAAATTCTTTGTAATTATTTGTGAAATTTACTTGCAATTTCTGAGTGAAAATTTCACTGAATCTTATAATGATCACTCAAAAGGAAACACATGCAACAGTCTCTAAGATTGTAGACGATGATGACAAATGAAAAACTGTCTCACCGCACATTTTACTCCTGTATGAATCATAATGATTCTTACCCTCACCTACAGTTTGAACTCTAGAAATCTCTTTACTCTGTAGTCTTTCCTGACCTGATGGACGTGGTTCCAGCCAGTCTACATGTGAGCGTCATCTTCTTCTGCGCAGTGCTCATCGTCTTCTCCTCGGTGTCCTGTGGGTTCTTCTTCTACAATGCCTTCGGAAGCCCATATGAGACGCTGCATGGACCCCAGGGCCTTTACCTCTGGAACATGATAACCTGTAAGACACACACACACATGATTCTCACTCTGGACATTCTCTCAACAAACTCCATGAAGTTCATCCCGGGATGCTTTGTAAGCGTCATGGGATGCCAGATTCCCTTAACTTTTTCAATAAAAAAACAACACAAAAAAAAAAACAGTAAATACATTTATTTAGTAAATACAATTAATTAGTAAATATAATAACATTAAACATTTACTTAATTCATAAGAAAAACAATATGTAATATTAAACAATATAAAACTAAATTACACCATTTACACATTTTTTTATTTTATTTAGAAAGTCATTAGCAATGTAAAGTTTTTTTTTAGTTTTTTTTTTTACCAGGTCAATAGATGCTTGAATTCTTTTGTCTTGAGAGAAAATCCAGATCCTGAAGACAGTATGTGATGAATATTTCACACATACATCCACTGGGTCTATACTGAACCACGACAGGAACGAGCCTCTGCGATTGTTTATCTGTTAGTAGTGAGAAAGTGAGCTCAGCTATACCATCGAGAGAGAATTGATAAATGACATCATAAATAAATAAAGTGATGGAAATGAATGCGCTTGGTGGAACTGGCCAGATTTCCACTCCATCTCTAGTGTCAGGTGCCTCTGTTGTGTTTGTACTGATGGAGGCCATTTTACCTGTCCACACAATTAAACCATTAAGTCCAAAAATAAAGCAGGATCACCTGCAGTGATGGGAAGAGAGAATACTGTGTTAGACTTTGGAGATTAATAGCAATTCTGAAGTAGTGTACAGCATATATATATAGTCACCTAAAGGATTATTAGGAACACCATACTAATACTGTGTTTGACCCCCTTTCGCCTTCAGAACTGCCTTAATTCTACGTGGCATTGATTCAACAAGGTGCTGAAAGCATTCTTTAGAAATGTTGGCCCATATTGATAGGATAGCATCTTGCAGTTGATGGAGATTTCTGGGATGCACATCCAGGGCACGAAGCTCCCGTTCCACCACATCCCAAAGATGCTCTATTGGGTTGAGATCTGGAGACTATGAGGGCCATTTTAGTACAGTGTACTCATTGTCATGTTCAAGAAACCAATTTGAAATGATTCGAGCTTTGTGACATGGTGCGTTATCTTGCTGGAAGTAGCCATCAGAGGATGGGTACATGGTGGCCATAAAGGGATGGACATGGTCAGAAACAATGCTAAGGTAGCATTGTTTCTGACCATGTCCATCCCTTTATGGCCACCATGGCATCGTGGCATTTAAATGATGCCCAATTGGCACTAAGGGGCCAGAAGTGTGCCAAGAAAACATCCCCCACACCATTACACCACCACCACCAGCCTGCACAGTGGTAACAAGGCATGATGGATCCATGTTCTCATTCTGTTTACGCCAAATTCCGACTCTACCATCTGAATGTCTCAACAGAAATCGAGACTCATCAGACCATGCAACATTTTTCCAGTCTTCAACTGTCCAATTTTGGTGAGGTCTTGCAAATTGTAGCCTCTTTTTCCCATTTGTAGTGGAGATGAGTGGTACCCGGTGGGGTCTTCTGCTGTGTTGTGGCTTCACAAATGCTTTGCTGCATACCTCGGTTGTAACGAGTGGTTATTTCAGTCAAAGTTGCTCTTCTATCAGCTTGAATCAGTCTGCCCATTCTCCTCTGACCTCTAGCATCAACAAGGCATTTTCGCCCACAGGACTGCCGCATACTGGATGTTTTTCCCTTTTCACACCATTCTTTGTAAACTCTAGAAATGGTTGTGCGTGAAAATCCCAGTAACTGAGCAGATTGTGAAATACTCAGACCGGCCCGTCTGGCACCAAGAACCATGCCATGCTCAAAATTGCTTAAATCGCCTTTCTTTCCCATTCTGACATTCAGTTTGGAGTTCAGGAGATTGTCTTGACCAGGACCACACCCCTAAATGCATTGACGCAACTGCCATGTGATTGGTTGATTAGATAATTGCATTAATGAGAAATTGAACAAGTGTTCCTAATAATCCTTTAGTTGAGTGTATATTCCATTCAAAGTATAATTTGAACCCATTCAGTACCTCTTTTAATTAAATAATTTGTGAAATGTTAATATTATTTAAATTCTGTTATGATTTCCTCACCCTTGTGTTTTTCTAAACCCTTTGTCCATGAAGTTAACAAAAGGAGATGTGTGGTTGAATATATTGGCTACTGTTTTCCATGCAATGAAAGTGGATGATGATTTCTACCTTTGAGTTCCAAAAGGGTCAAAAGGTACCGTAATGGTTTGGTTTCGTTAGCGAAATTCTGCAGGCAAAAAATATCCGTTGTCGGTTGTCAATAGTGTAGTGAAGTAATTGTACTGAAAACCTTGTGTGCATTTAAATATGTTGCACCAAGACATCAATGACGGTAAATGTCATTTGTTCCGCGTCTGTGTGTCTCATGACTGATCATTAAAAGCATTAAATAGCAACTCCAAAGGGCAAGACTTTCAGTAAGTAATGATTTGGACTATTCTTCACAAGACTTATCTGTGTTAGTCATATGAACTTCTTAAAGGTGCCCTACACAGCAAAATCCCCAGTGTTAAATTAACACTCTGAGTGTGGACTCATATAAACACTGAAGCAGTGTTAAAGTTAACACTGAAGCAGTGTTAAAGTTAATGAGATAATTAAGTGAATAATTGAGGGATGATTGAGCATCATTGAAGACACCTGATGATAACAAGCAGAATCACTGAAGGAGAAAACCGTAATTTTAAGTCACCATTATGGTGATCAGTATTTGCTTTAGTTGGGCTCTTGACCCTTTAATCATTAACTTCAGATTTTGTTTGGCTGCTGTACGTGAATTATAACAGCCAGATGAACATATAGAAAAGGTGATCTGATGGTGTTGGTTGTGTTTTAACATAATCATTATTTCACAATCATTTGACCTGAGTCACTGAACTCATATATAGGCCAATTTCTGAATTAGGTTTACTTTATTAATTATAGCAGCACTGTCCTTGTATGGCATCATATTTTTAGCCTTTTCAATGAAACCAAATGATCAACAAAAAAAAAAACGTCAAAAATTATTTATGTTGGCACACACAGACATCAAGAATTAGCATATGAATCTCAGCAATGGTGACAAACCGATCACTTCTGAACATAAGCTCATTATTTATTCATGCAGCAATGCATGATTGGAGCCATGAATGAGTTTTTATTGGTGGCACCCAGAATGCACTGCAACATGCTTTAATAATTGTCACCATTGTTGAGATTCACAGGCTGATTCTTGATGTCTAAAAACTGTATCAAATAAATGAATTTTTTTTTTTTTGTATATGAGACGTGTATAAAATGAATTTCTGTGGATTACTTTGTAAAAGTTTAAAACACTATGCTGTGCAAGAATAGTGCTGCTATAATTGATAAAGTAAACCTAATTTGGGCTCTATATGTGTTCAGTAATTCAGGTCAAATGATTGTGAAATAATTATTATGTTAAAACACAACCAACACAATCAGATCACCTTTTCTATATGTTCATCTGGCTGTTATAACTCACGTACAGCAGCCAAACAAAATCTGAAGTTAATGATTAAAGGGCCGAGAGCCCAACTAAAGCAAATACTGATCACCATAATGGTGACTTAAAATTACGGTTTTCTCCTTCAGTGATTCTGCTTGTTATCATCAGCTGTCTTCAATGATGCTCAATCATCCCTCAATTATTCACTCAATTATCTCATTAACTTTAACACTGCTTCAGTGTTAACTTTAACACTGCTTCAGTGTTTATATGAGTCCACACTCAGAGTGTTAATTTAACACTGGGGATTTTGCTGTGTAGAATGTGAAATTGAATTTATGTTGGCATAGTTAAATAACAAGAGTTCAGTACATGGACATGACATACAGTGAGTCTCAAACACCATTGTTTTCTCCTTCTTATTTAAATCTCGTTTTTAAAAAACACCCCTGAAAAACAGGCGAATCTCCACATAATACCGACTGTGACGCAATAGTCGGGATCATTAATATGTACGACTCCGAAGATTTGCATATGCCAGCCCTCAATGCCAGGCGGAGGGCGGATCTGCGCAGCTGAAGCATGGCAGTTGCTCAGTGTGGATGTACACATGAACACAAAAGTATTTTTTAGTTCCTTCATCCGAGCCTCTGAAGAAACAATTAATTTTATTTTCTCTTGAAATTTCCAAACATTTCACCGACGACGGTTTCCTCAACTTGGGCCAATACAGAGCTGGCCTCGGATCGAGCTACCAAGCAACACTTTCTGATGTGTAATTGTTTAAGTTCAGACAGGTAATCTTTCTCTCAAAATCATTCAATACTGTTTATGCATCAGTAAGTCAAACCAGTGACTAAAATATCAACTTCACATCGTTTTTTTTAGTTGGATGAAAACAAACTTTTTTTATAGTGAATAAAATATATACAGAAAGCGATCAAAGAACAATCTTTCCACACACCGTGAGTTTATCTGGACACTTGCCAAACTCGTTATGAAATCAATGACGCACGTTACTGCACAACGAAGCTCTTACTGTATTTACATCATCGTGTTTGCATTGGTGAAAGCATTTAGAGAGAGTGCAGAAACTGCTTTGCAATGATTAGATCTTCAGTCCGCGATCAACAGACTGTCATCTGCTCAATGCTCATCACGGCAACATTTTGTGATGGGAATAGATCTAAATACTTTAAAAACATCTCACGATTCGTTAATCTCGATAGCTGTAAAAACGTATAATATCTGTAGTAAAAGTATTCGAGAGAGTTTCACATGTACATAGCAATTTCATATGCAAGCATGTCAGCCAATCACAGCAGAGGCCGGTTCTCACAGCAGACACGCCCCTTCAAACAGAGTGTTCAAATCAGAGGCTAAAATCAGGCTAGGAAAAATGCCTTTTATTTCTAAATTAGGACTATTTTTGATCTTAAAAACATACTAACATTATAAGGGTAACCCAGGAAACATTATAAAATAATTTAAAAAAACATTC